AAGCGCAGTTGCCTTTTGAAAAGCACTTTTGGGTTCCCTTCTTTGTCTTTACCAAGAAAGATGAACCCCTTAGAACCCCAATAAGATCACTCTTAAGGTCATTGAAACTACTGTGTCCTCCCAAGAGATATTCCACATGTTTTTTTTATGGTTCAGTGCTATTTATTAAGGAAAGACACAAGATTGTTAAAGCTTTTTCGAAATGAATGGAAATATATATATTTACAGAAAAAAAACTTTTTTTCTTTTTTTTTAATTGAACTACATAGAAATCTGGTTTTACAAACCAGAGCCTGCAGTAAATAAGGCTACACCAGAAGATCCAGAGAAGTATGTTTAAAGTCTGTCGAATGACAACATACCTTTTCTTTACTGCTTGTGCCTGGGGAGTTGGCTGACAGATAAAATAGGACTAGACAGCCAAGCTGCATTCTAGCTGCAAAATGCTAATGTGTTGCTACATAAGTTGGCTGGGTTTTTTTTTTCTCTTTGACACTTTTGCAAAAACCTTCTGCTTACAGGGGAGCATTACTATTTGCCTCATTCCAGCTGGCAATTGGAGTATCTTCAGTGCCTCATCTAAAAGTTGTACAGATATTTGGCATTGTTCCTGCTTTTTTGCTAAATGTGGAACTTTTAATGGCCTTTTCAAATAGCATTGCTTACTCTTACCTATGTGTGTCAAGGGCTGCTGTGAGATTGTACATTTCAAACTGGAGTAACACAGTTGAATGAGAAATTGAGGTCTTTGAGAGAGGTGGAATGATTTTGAAATGGAATGATTCCTTCCTCCTCCCAATTTCTGTTCTAGAACTAGGACAACCCACCTTCCTGAAATAAACACAAGGGCATTATTGGTGTAATAAATAAAAATGCTGGATTTCAGCTACCATACTCACCCCTTCCATCAATTGCTTTGTCCCTTTGGGGGGGAGGGCATTATCAAAGGAAGTATTGGGTTGTAGCTACATTTCTTAAAGAAAATAGTAGAAAGTGGCATGTTGGTTGTAGCTTGAAGACCTGGAGAACCTAAACAAATGATGTTAGATAGAGCAGAGAGCCTGCCATGCATTGCAGATTATATCTATGGGCCCATTTTTGTTCCTGATTACACTGTTACTTATCTTGAATCTTAGTCAGCTTTCCTCAATCTGCTTCTCAGGTGTGTTTGGGCTGGGCAGCATATTTAGAGAAGGCTGACCTAGAAACTGTTTTTTTTAATCTGCTTGCCCATGATTAGTCTATTAATTCTAGACAATTTTCTGTTTCTGTTCATATAACATGAAAGGTAGTTTACAAAGATTAAAAATTGCCTGTGTGGTGTAGTAGTTAAGATGTTCAGTTAGAAATGGTGATGTCATTTTCTAGTCCACATATGGCCATAGAAACACATTGGGAGACTGGAAGACTTTTCTCAACACAACCTACCAGCCTACTCACAGGGAAAATACGAGGTGGAAGCACTGTGTACATTGCCTTGAGATTCTAAAAAAAAAGTGGGGTATAAATTTTATTTATTTAAAATTCACATTTCTGAGATTTACCAACTTTTTATTAATAGAATTGGTCTAATAACCTGAAACCAGATGGATACAAGTAGACAGCTCACTTTCCCTACTTGTGTAGGGTGGAGAGTCCAAGTAAAAGAATGAGGGATAGTTAAAATAAGTTGAGAAGGATATGCAAATACTTTTTCTTATGAAGCAATCATCATCATCATCTTCCTGGCTTCCAGAAAGTCGGGGAGGGAGGGAATATGATGAGAAGGGGTTGGGAACTGTTGTCAATCTATCAACCACTCCCTCTGTGAAATCCCTGCTTTGGAGCCCCAAGTCAACTGGCAGAGCCAATCTTATGGGAGGTAAAGAGAGTTGGAGCTGACTTCATTCAAGATGGTGGTGGGGTAAGCTGTTCCAAAGGGCAGACATAATGGCAGAGAAGGCCCTTCTCCTGGGCTCAGCACCAGAACAATCCGGCTTATGGGGCCCATATCTGTCATGGATCTGCCTCCAGATTCCTCTTTGGACACAAATTCAGAGGAGGAGGAGTTTGAGTTGGCAGAAAAAACAGCGGAACCTGACAGAGCAGCCTTAGCTGGGTTGATCGGACGAGCGATAGGCTGAGGCTGAGTAAGGGGAGCCACAGCTGCAGCAAGTTGTCAAGCAGGCTCTGGGTGAGGACCAGGAGCAGCTGCAATGAGGAGGAAGTGAGTCCACACCTCCTCCCGATCCAAAGACATGTCAGCCAGAGAGGAGACAGGCACAACTCTGGTCAGCTAGACTACTCACGAGGAGGCAACCTCGCCTCTCTTAAAGGGCTGCATCAGTGCCATCTACTTAATCCCACCCTGAGGACTTGAGTGTTGTGTGGGAGGGGAGCAGGGCAGCACAATACCATGCTTCTGCTGCTGGCACAGGTGGGGTGAGCCAATCCCATTGGGATGAGATGGTCGTTCAAATTGCCTGGACGGAGGCCCTGAAGGGCTTTAAAGGTAATTATCAACACTTTGAATTCACCCGGAAGCAAACTAGCAGCCAGCACAGCCTCAGAACATTGGGGTTATATGGGCCACCCTTGGGGCCCCAAAACCTTGCTTAGTTTTTAAATGGCCACTTGCCAACAGAAAAGTTTCTTTGAATGCCTGCTTTTAGCAGGTGACATTATAATTTATACATTCACAGATGTTCTGAAAAAAAATATGAAAGGAAAAGACATTGGTAGGTGGAACAAAGGCTTGCCTTTAATCTCCCACTTTACTGGATTGCACGGTCTGATTGTGCAATTTCCCCAGGAGTATTGGTCTTTTAAAACACTCTGAAAAGAGCAATGAGATGCGTCATTCAGCTATGTGTTATATTCAGTTTGTACAATCTTAAATGAATGGGAGTTTCAGCTCATGACATGGGGTCCTTAGCACTGAGTGTGCCCAAATATTTCTCTGCCTGAACCGATCTTTAAAATCCATCTATGAAGTATGAGTTATCACATTCAAATTATTTTAATTGCAGCATTGTAATAAGGAGAAAGCATGTAGAAGTTTTGATACAGACAGAAATGTATTCTAGTGGATTTAGAATCGTGTCAAGATAAAAGCTGGTCTCTGCTTGCTTCAAATAAAACTGTGCCTGAGAAGAAAGTGTCTGTGCTTGTTATTGATTCTAAAAGAAGGACTAGATTAACACTGCATAGATTAGAACTTGGTTTTTAATGCCTTACTTAGATAATATTTTTACAGAAAGTTGCACTCAGCTGAATCCAGTTTTACATTTAGCACTGAGCCATTCTTTTTAGAATGGGATTTTTGTAAGCATATAGAGGTAGTCCTTATGACCATAATTGAGACTGGCAATTATGGTTGTAACTCAAAATAGTCACAAAGAGGGTGACCACATGACCCAAGCCGATTTTAAGTGCTTTGTGGTCATTAAGCAAACTCATTGTTTGCCATGGGCTGGTTTTTGCCCGAACCAGAAGTAAATGCTGTTTTTTTGCAAAGCCATTGTGAATTGCATTCAAGAGATCCAGGGGCACTGGAAACACCTGGAAATGCGGGCTGGTTGCCAAGCATCTAAAATGCAATCATGTGACCACGGGAGGAGGACAATAAAAGAACTTAAAAACCGGGTTGTAAATAACTTTGTAGGGAGCCATCACAACTTCGAATAGTCGCTAAATGACACATCGTAAGTCAAGGACTACATGTATACAACAAGACAAAGCCTGAAGGAGATGCTGATCTATCATGAATAAGAAATGAAAGTTCTGTGCTTCTGTGGGACGTGTCATTTATTTGTACATGTGTAGAAGTTATAGATCACGTTCCTAAGTAATTTCTAAACTGTAAGGTTCTGCACTTGGGTACAGAAAGCCAGATGCACAGGTAGAGGATAGCTATAGCAATAGCACTTAGACTTATATACTGCTTCATAGTGCTTTACAGGGCTCTATAAGCAGTTTCAGAATCAGCATATTGCCCTCAGTCTGGGTCCTCATTTTACCGACTTCAGAAGGATGGAAGGCTGAATCAACCTTGAGCTGGTTAGGTTCTGGCAGTCGGCAGAATTAGCCTGCAGTACTGCATTCTAACCACTGCACCACCTCGGCTGTAATAGGTACCTGGCTCAAGAGCAATTGTGAGAAAGATCTAGTTTTTGGTAGGCCAGGGATTAAGCATAAGATAGCAATATTCTGCAACTGCTAATGCAATTTTGGGCAGTATCAGTAGAAATATAGTGTCAAGATTTTGGGAATGATAGTGCTGGCTATGTTACATTGCTCAGAGTTGGATCCAGTTCTGGTCATTATAATATCTGAAGGACACCAGGTAACTGGAAAGAGTGCAAAGAAGAGCAACAATAATAAGGTTAATAGTAAGGTCATATAACAGTAATTACATTTCAGGCTAGGTTAGCTAAATGTATCTGGGAAGCAAGTTCACAAGTTGCACCTAAAATTGAGGACCTTCCATTATTTCTTTTTCATGAAGTAGAGTGGATCAAATTAGGGAGCTTCCACATAGCTATCATAGCTGACAGCTATTTATCATTAGGGATTGATAATGTGTGGCCAGCTACTCCTGATGGGGTAAATCAGTCCACATTAGTGAAAGATTCTGGGAACTGAAATATCTAGCATTAGGCTAGAAACCAGAGGACTCTCAGATGTAGTCCCTCGTTAGGCACAAAGCCATTTGAGTGACCTTGGACAAGTCACTCTCAGCTCTAGGAAGAAGGCAATAGCAAACCAGTTCCAAAAATCTTCCCAGAAAGCTTCAGGGACTTATCTAGGCAGTTGCCAGGAGTCAAAGTTGACTCAAAGGCACAATAAATATGTTAGGTTCTTCATGTATTTGACACTGAACTTCATTTAATATAGTGTGCCTCACATTCTAGGTAAATGTTTTCTGCAAAATATATTTGATCTTCAGCAGTAGAATGATGTTTGAAAAGAAGATGCTGTTTATTTTTCATTGATCAAATATGTTCACTTTCTCTTTGTAGCATCAATTACTTCTGGAGAAGCTGCTTGCTTGTGCCTAACAGAAGATCATCGCTATAGCTGAAATATAAAATTGCCATCATGAAGCACTTTCTCAGGTAATTTCCCTTTGCTTATAGAAAGCCCTTGATTAAGACAAAGTTCCAATTGATGTTGGTTTGAGACTGCTCTAAAATATTTCATCAAGGAAATCAGTTTGCTCAAGAAAATCTGGATTATATCATTGTTTGATGTTGAGCAAATTACATAATCAATCCTCATTTATTCACTACTTGTTAATTTATGTATTATAGAACTTATACCGTACATACTTCTAATACTTCTCTCCAACATTTCTGTGAAGGCAACATACAGGTAGTCCTCAAATTACAACAGCACTAAGAAAGTGACTTATGACTGATCCTCACACTTACAACTATCACAGCATTGCCACAATCACATGATCAAAATTCGAAAGCTTGGCAACCACTGTATATTTACGATGGTTGCCATATCCCAGGGTCCTGTGATCACCAGTTCCCACCTTCCCAGCCAGCTTCCAACAATCAAAGTCAGTGGGGAAGTCAGATTCACTTAATAACCACGTGTTTCACATAGCAACAGCAGTGAATCTCTAAACTACCACGGCAAAACAAAGTTTGTAAAACCAGATGAGATTCACTTAACAATTGCCTTGCTTAGCCATGAAAATTCTGATTCCAATTACGGTCATAAGTCGAGGACTACCTGAACTTGCTCCTTTTATCCTCAAAACAATTCTCTGGGAGAGTTGAAGTCACCCAATTAATTTCATGACTGAATGAGAATTTTAACCTGATTCTGACCATAGCTTGGCTATATTTCATTATCTCATACAATTATACCTTTCTGTAGCATACTGCAGCACTGATCTCCCAATCAGTGACAATTCTTAATCTCACTCTTTCATTCATTCTTTAATTCCTTATAAGCATTGGTTATTTATTTTCAAGATGATCATTGCAGCCTTGAGGTTTAATACCTTGAACATTGAGGAACAAAGATTGAGAGACTCAGAAATTTAAGATTGAACCAGAAGGGGAGAAATGACTCAATGCTGCTAGAAATAATGAAAATGTTCAGAGATTTTGTGATTATGACTGTCCTCAGATATAGCATTAGACTGATAGCATGATGAACTCAAGAAGCATTGCTTCTTTTTCTAAATTTACTGTTTAGTTTGGACTCTTATCGGTTATTAAAAGCAAACAAATCAAATTAAGACACTGATTGTGCCTTACACCTTAGGCAAAATTTCTGGAAATTTCAAATATCTTTTACTTGGAATTTTGCATGCAGCAAAATCTGACTGTGTAATATTAGCATGTTGATTATATGATTTCCAAATCTCCAAGATTTCTCCAGTTTTATTTTTTTAATGCATTTCCTATAAAGGCACATTTCTAAGCAGTTTACAATTAAAGTTGCACAATACAAATTGCATTGTATTATAATATACAATTTTGAAAGCAACAAAAAAAATAATGGAAAAAGATCTGTACCATAACGAAGGAATAAAGTCATTGAAATATTTAGGTGTCGTAATTCAGTCTTTCTGATTTTTTTGTGTCTCTGTGTGCACCTGTTGGACTGTATAATTCTGATGCTTGAGCAGTCTTTAAAAATTGTGCTGGTCATTAACCATAGTAAAATACTGTTTCTGTTTCTCTCATCTTTAAACAATTGACACATATCACTGATTTAAGATGTTAATTGGAAATAATCACTGGGTTTAAAGTAATTTCATGGTTGTAAAATTCCTAGGATGTAATTTCTCAGTTTAAGACATTTTGAAAGCATGTCATAATTTGGATATTTGGAAAAACAAATTAGTCTGTTCAAGCACAAAAAGAGGAAAGGAAGAAAAAGAAGCAGCTTGTGTTTCTTAGACTAATGAAAATACTATAATGCAATCTTTTTTAAGCTTGAATCCAGAGTAACCTCACTTTATGCTTCTGGTGAAGTAAGGTTTTTTGTTGTTGTTTTTTATGGGTCTTTTTTGTACTGTTGTAATCTTTGATAAGCTGGAGGAAAGATACCATTAAAATTGCTGGGAAGAGTACAAGCATCAGATCTAATTTGGGTTGTTGAGATTATTCTTACTAGAATGCAGAAGCCCAGTGACCAGGGCAAGATAGAAAAGACTTATTGTTAGAACTGGGCATTTTAGAACTGAGGAATTTATATTTTGCACCATAACTCACTAGTTATTTTTTTTTAATACATGCTCATTTCTGGTAATTTTTACTTTCGTTTCAGTGAGAACTCACGTTGCTATTGCTTAAAAGAACAAAATTATTGTCAACCTCCCAGTGTCAGTTCATTGATCTCATTCTGTTTTTAAACCACCTCTAATATACTACAGGTGATCCTCACTTATTATTCATTGAGTGACCATTCAAAGGTATGATGGTACAGAAAAAAATATTTATTTGCTTTCATTCATGAAAATATTTATTTATTAAATTTATATGCTGCCCATCTCATAAAGTGACTTATGACCAATCTTCACACTGAAGCATCCCCACATTCATGTGATTAAAATTTGGGCACTTAGCAACCAGCATGTATTTATGATAGTTGCAGTATCCCAGGATCACACAATCGCCATTTGGAACCTTTCTAGATGACTTCTAACAAGTCAATAGCAGAAGTCGCTTAGTGACCATGTTATTTACTTAACAATTCTGATAATTCACTTACCGATCATGGTGAAAATGGGTGCAACTCACTCACTTAATAACCACCTGCTTAGCAATAGACATAAACTGTTCCCTATAGTGGTTGTAAATCGAGGATGACCTGCATACACATTACTGTAAATAATGTATCTATGAATTATTCCTATAATAATGTCATAATATTCCTTTTTTTGAACATTCCCCTCTGTGCTGCATTATTTCCAAGTATCTCAAAGCAAGAATATTTGTTCTGGCATATTGAAATGATCTGCTCATACATAATCTTCTACTTTGATGCTACGACCTAAATGATAAAAGCAAAGTATTACGCTGTGTCAGGATGAAAATCTTTTGGTGCCTCAGGGCCATACAGCTGTCTGTAGTTGGTGAGGAGTTGGTGGGGAGAGGATTCAGAATGGATGGAATCCTGTTGTACATGTCAACAGGATTGAAATTATTTCTTATTTTGGAACAGTTTTTGATGGGGAATATTTTTTAGGGTTTTTTTTATTGAGTTAGAAAGAACCTGGACCCTGAATCTGCAGCTGCTGCAGCTGTGCATGTTAAAATTAAGAATCAAGCTCTTTCTCATTATGCTAACAATGCCATTGCTATTGATACCAAAAATTCATGAAAAGTCAGTACTTTTAGCAAAATCCAACCCATGCAGGAGTCTGGGGTGTGTGTGGTGGAAATAAATCCTGGATTTGATATATATGAGAATGGCAGTGCTGGAAATGAAGACTATACATTTGCTATATGTCCTAAGGCATGAGATTGCTATTTGAGTTGGTCATCCCAATCTATCATCACAAGAAAATACTTTCCTTGTCTCTAGTCTAGAGTGTTCAACTACGAGTTGCTTGCAAAACAGACCCAGTCAGTTACTCATTGCAGATCTGTCTTTCTGGTACTCTCCAAGGTCCTGTTGCCAACTACAGTAAGGAGTTATTTAGCTCCAAATGAGAGCTATTCCATCAGGCCTCTTAATTTATTTTAAAAAGCACTCAGAGCAGAACAAAACTGCCTAGAAAGGGAAGGAAATTAAAATACAAGAGCTAATAGTTGCATTTTACCTTATAATCAGTTGCCAAGAAGCTTTAAATAGAATTTAGTCTTAAGGTTGTGGAGGAGTTGTATTTGTTCTCTAGAGGCTACTCTGGAGAGAATTGAGCTATGTTGTTCAAAGAAACATAGGAAAAAATCAGATTCTAACCAATGAAGCGTTTTAAAAGGGAATGGTAATGATCTGAAGCTGAAATGCTATGGATATATCTAAAGCTGAAGCTCAATAATTAAATAAGCACTTTTAGGTTATGGTTACAATAAAATGTTTCCTAAAACATCTATTTTGTTGGAGTGATAACACATAGCTTCATGAGGGTGTAGTCACAGACTTAGTCCAATTCATATGGCTTGGGGAAACTGGGAAACAGTTATACATTCTACTAATCATCTCTACCCATATTTTAGGTGGGAAATTTGTGACACTTAAGCTCATCACGGAATTGATGGATGGAATTAATAACATTCCAAGTTACTCAGCTACTTTTTTTAATTGTGCTTTTTTTTCAAGAGGGCCTATGCTTAGAATCCATATAACCATCATTTACTATCATTCTGTACACCTATTTTATATATTCCTTACAAGGGACAACAAATATCTGTAGTGGGTGTGATATTTATTCCACTCACATCTAGAGAAATGAATCGTTAAAGGTTGCTGAATCGTGAGATCAATCTACAGAGTCTGCAGTGTTTTTGAACGCTTTATTATGATAATAATTCTGGTTGCCATGGTGCTTTTTATCTAAACAGATGGATAAAATGAAAAACCAGTCTTGTTTTAATCTGAAAGATCTAACTGTTATTGGGGAAAATTCAAGGAGAATGAAAATAGCATCAGTGAAAGACAGAGAAAGGTGGTGGTTTCGTTTTAATGAATCTAAGTTAGGATTTTTATTGAGCTTATGTGTCAGTTAAGTATTATAAAATATGTATTCCAAGCTGCACAAATGTTCAGGCCCCTTATCTCTTCCTTGGTAACTTTCCTTGTTTCTAGTCTCTGCCCATGTGTGGTTCTATTAGCAGACAATAAGCTTGCATTTATATGTTGCATTTTGGTAACTGTGAAAAGCAACTGTTGTTAGTATTCCATAAGGCTGGGTGTAATGCAGGGGTGGACAACTATGGCAACTTTATGACCTGTGGACTTCAACTCCCAGAATTCCTAAACCAGCTGGTCATAAAGTTACCATAGTTGTCCACCCCTGGTGTAATGAGTTAACAGACATTTTTGCATTCAGTCCAGAATCCATCATTATCTCACTGGAGATTACCTTCACTTATGCTTTAGAGTTTAGACACTAAGCAGATACGTCTTTCTATAGGTAGACCTC